AGTAGTCTTTCACTGGAATATTCATGTACATTGACTTCATTTAGGAGGCACCCCACACTCTGTCATCTGCCTTCTCCTTGCCCTTGATCTACTTGGTCTCCTCTGCTCTCAGGCTTTTCTGCCCATGCTTTTTGTTGATGATGCTGACCCTTCACATCAGTTTGTCCCCACTTCTCCAGCACTTCCCTGCACAAGCGATCTGAGGCTTCACAGCACCAAGAATGTAATTCCGTCACCTGAAGGAGCAGGGCAAGGCACAGCTGCTCTTCAAAAGATTAAGGAAAGCAGAGGAGCCTTTGAGTGTCCGGTTGGTGAAGTGTACCAGAGAAACTCCTATTTCTGGAAGGGTTTCCCCTCACCCTCTAGCAGAAGTAGCTGGCAGTAGCATGCAAGCCCCTCTCTCAGGGGCTGCAGCCTCCCAAGGCCCTGACTCACCAGGCAGGCAGCTGCCCAGAGCACTGTGCTGCCAACAGCAGCAAAAGAGCCTTTTTTTCCCATGTCTAGCCCTGGCCTTGCTGTCACAGACAGCTACAGCGCAAGAATTCTGTTCTCCCAAATGCCTTTGGATCACCTACTTGTAGAATAGACAAGAGAGAACAGAAGCTACGTTTGCTTCTAGTCAGCATTTCACACTTGACTTCTCCTTTAAAGGTTACATCAAGCTTAATCTCATTTAGACCGCACTGTGTGCGCCAAAATAACAAACAGGTGGATCATGGTATTTGTTTTGCACATTTTGTAATTCAGTTACTTCACACACTTCTCCGAAGTACAAGACCCAACAAAGAATGTGCTTGGAAAAAGAGAAGGGTGAATCATTCTAATTCTGTATAAACATGTGCTGACAGCACAGAGGAAAAAAGAAAGTATCTTCTGTTTTCAGAGTTTGTTACATGTTGTCTCGGGCATCTTGACACACAAGATGGATATAAGCTGCTGCTTGACATAAATAGCAGCAGTGCATTTATTGCTCACCTGATTCTCATCAGGACTCTGAAATGCTTAGGAGGAGAGGGAAAATGAGGAAAGATAAAACCAAACAGAAGTGGCACATGGGGAAGAAGCTGACACTGGCTTTTTTACTGAGCCCCAAAAGCACACTTCCCGTAACAGCACTCCACTGGCTCCCTTCTGTCATCACTGCTACCAGGGCAATCTTACACACCTGGTAAAACCTCGCCTCCATGACTGCTTAGAGGCTACCAGACCCACACCAAGTCTTCCATAGGGCCCTTAGTATTTCCAGTATTACTGCTAGTCCTGCACTCCTCACTACTGATTCCAAAGGGTAACTCATGCTGTGCCAGCTATCAGGGCACTTCTAGTAAGAGAAAGCGAGGTGCGTGCAATCACACCATTTGTCTCTCCCAGCTGTTTTCTCAGTTTCAGCCCAGTTTTGAAAACTTGGGAATCTCCAAGATGTATACTTTCCAGCCAGTATAATGACAGACAAAGCCTGGGTAACACCCAGTGCCCCCTCCAAAGGCAAAGCAAGGAGGTCAGCCTGTCCATTTCTGGCAACACCCCATCAGAGCACTCTAGCCTGAGTGAGGCACCACTGGAGCTATCTGATGGAGGAAGAAGAAGAGCAAAGGACATAAACATGTAGGAATACCGACTAGAAATAAGTGTAATATTCAAAATACAATTTTGTAAGTGTATAAATAAGGATGTAATTAATATTTGCTTTGGACCCAGATATAAGTGCACTGAAATACTGTATTTTGTAACACTGTAATGCTGTAGCCACATACAGTGTTATAATTAATTTATGTATGTATGTGAGCGATGTGACAACCACAGGGGCAAAAACCTCTGCAGTTGCACATGGATGCACCCAGGGAAGAAAAAGTTGCAAAGCAACAAGAAAAGCACAAAGAACTGCAGATAGGAAGGACATCCCACCAAATATACAAGAAGAATCACTGGCAAGATAAAAAAATTAGTTAAGCAGTATCAGGTACAGATGAGATCCCCCTCCCTTTAGGGAATGGGGCAAGTAGCATTAAACTGTGCAGCTTAAGCAATACATGTATTTCTGAATATATATATGTAAGAGCGTGCACCACAACATGGCACTCTGCCAAGGTTTTATAGGTATAGGAAATGACCTGAATAATATAAAGTGCAGTCCTCTAAAACTTTTGCAGGTAAAATATACCTCACATCTCTGCCCAACCCTCTTCAGAGATCAGCGTTTCATTCGAAACTAATATAGTCCAAACACAATGAAACCAATCCATCAGGTACACTACAGCTGTTGCCAAATTCTTGGGATGTATAAATATGTGCTTATCCCACATTTCAGTGGAGTCTTACATCAACTGCAACAAATGTTGAGAAATACAAGGCTAATGCCTCTTCAGACCTGACTGGGCTACCAAGTAATATGGCAAGTGTGTTCTGCAAGCTGCCTGCTTTTTCTGCTCCTTATTCTCTGAATAGAGTAAAAATGTTTGTAGATATTTGAAAAACTCCTGTCTTACTAGCAACATTACACCAAAATGCAAACATACACCTCCTTAAACACAGTTTACTTTCTTTGGCTAGAATACAGCTTTTAGGAGGTATAATGTTTATTGCAAGAGTTTCTAAGGTGAAAAAATAACTGTATACAATTCTAACTCATTTAAATTCCTTGGGTTTACAGGCTACAAGTAAAAAGGAGATATAAGCTCGCCTCCACAGATGCCTAAATAGCAACAATTTCCAATTACTTCCACAGGCAAAAATGCTATAGTGAAAAAAACAATCACAGATGCACAATCATCGTTACCGTTAGCAAAAAAAAACAACCTCACGTGTAATAGAACAAAAAATGAACAAAACTAACAGTTTCACCTTAGTAGAGCAGAACCTGTTATGTCCACATGAAGACCTTTACTATTTCAAATCTAATACTACTCTTTGATCTGTATAATTAACCTTAGTGATAGAAAATTAGAATAAGCTATACAAGCTGAAAGCATTGCTAGCTGAAAAACTGATGGGGGCTCAATTGACATTCTTACTCCAGTATCTGTCTTAAAGGTAGTCTGAAGGTATCTAGAAGTCCTAGCATGGGTGGGAAGAAATTTAGGGCATTGCATACCAGCACAGCTACTGCAGGCTGTGCCCCAAGCAATCCCCCATGCAAGCCCTGGTACCGAGGCACTCTGTGGCAAGATGCTTCTGACACTGCTCTTTGGAGGCTGCCCAAAGTTGCAACTCATATGGCCTCACAGAAACTGCTCCAGATTCAAGACAGAAACTCATATGGGCAGGTTAAAAGTTTCCAGAGTCCCATCTGTTACAGAATGCAAAATCTACATGTCTCATCAACTCAGACACATCCATCAGAAGGATGTTCAGACAGAGGCAACAGCCAGACAAAGGGTAGACATGGAGCATAAGTACACTTGAGACATATTACGCCCACGGAAATAAATAAAGCATGTCTAAAGGCTTCTCCCAGCTGCATTCAGCACTTGCTCATGACTGGCTCTTGGTTTAAACAAAGTCAGTGAAGTTTGCACAGATGCCAAGCAACTGTGACTGTCCTTTCCATTTCGCTGTCACAGCACTGGAGAGCCAAGCTCCAAGCGGATGCTCCTCCTGCTACTGGCCAGGTAAGGGGTATACATATGGAGTGGCAGCTGTGACAGCAAGAGGGGACAGGTGGGGACAGCAGTATCCCCAGCCATCGCTGACCTCTCCTTTTAGCCAGTGTCCTGGAGGAGCGGAAAGCCCAGCTCCCCGGGCACAGTCTTCAGCAGTCCTCCCTTCCCCAGGGGCAAAAAGGTTACTCTGCCCAACTAACACTGAGGTTAATGTGCCATTAATGATAATCAGAGTCACTGAATTCTTGGACAAGAGTGGGACCACTGTAAAGGTATCAACGTCTACATTTTTTTTTTTTTTTAATTTAAAGCAATATCTTCATACCTACCTGTTAGGTATGTTCCCTAAAAGATTTTGTTACAAACTAAAATACAGAAATGTTTTGTGGAAGTTGATATCGAAAACAAACTTCATGAACTTCAGGCTGAAAATGCATATTAATCTATCTTAGTTTCTTGAAACACACAGCTAGGTTCTTATCCCATTTAAGTTACCCTGAATTCAGAGTAAATGAAGATACTTTCACTCAAGCTGGCTTCACAAATACCAGATTTCTTTCATGAGTTCAAACAATCAAGGGCAAAACTTAAATGTACTTGCTTGATGCTTATCCACATTTTGTTGTTAAAAAGTAAAACTAAGTAAATTTATTCTGGAGTTAAAAAAACCCAACATCCCTCCGGTGGCTTCTGACCTGTTTCCAAAATCTGGTAGTCAGGTATATCAAAGTCACATTGCCAGAGAAATTTGGTCCATATTCCCATGCTGACAAAGAGACCAGAAGAATACTAATATCTGTAGGGCTTTTATCAGCTCACTCAACCTTCACCTTTGTAATTTCCACCAGCTTTATATGATCTGAATTTGTGGGACAGAAAGTCCTCACTGATAACTATAGGCAATGCCTGGGCAACTTCCGTGCAGCACTGACTGCAGATGCAAAGGTTCAATAGGTCAAGGTTAAATTTTGTTTAGATTTTCTGATTGTCCTTAAAAATTATATACGAGACTTAAGAGGCCTCTGAGTACTCAGAAAATAATAAAGGGGAAACAAAATCTCACAGTTATCCTATGATGTTTCAAGATTTACTTAAAAAAAAATAGAGATTGCATATAAACGTTATATGTTCTCTGACAGTCTTAAAATGCATCTTTTTTCCCATTTTCTACTGGGATTTATTATTATTTGTCTGTTAGTGTTATGAATTATCAAAAGCAGAATGACAGAGAAATCTTTCAAATAAGGCAAGACAGACTAACACCGAATGCTCTCTAGGAAAGCATCTTCTATCAGCATGGATAACAAATGCTTCTTTTATGGAACGAGCAGTCCCATCTCACAGTTTTGTCTATCTCCTATTACCCTGTTCCTGTAACATAAAGATGCTGCTAGATCTTACCGATGTACAAAAGATGCAGCTGCATTCCTGAAGAGTGGTCATCTTATCCAGGGAATATTCACAGAGACATAGCTTGCAGGTGAGCAAGGGCTCCAGAGTTAACTCTCCAGCTTCTGACTCATCAGCTGTCATGGTGTGAGGACAAGCCTTCTCAGCAGAGCCCATTCACTCATTAATGGTCCACGTGGCCTGAAAAGGGAAATCAACAGCTGAAACATCTCACAAGCCATGTAATCACTTCTCATTGAACCTGAAAATTTACAACTCGGATCTATAAAAACACCTGCACACCCAAATGCACTACTTTGTCATTTTGGTGCCAGTCTCACACTTCAGGCCATTGAAAACTTACAAAGAAGGTGTCTGAGAGCCCAGCTCCCCAAAAGGCCTGAACAGGATTGGGTTCTCAGAGATCACTCACTTTGCTGGCAGAAAGAACCGGTCAGTCTGCTTGTCATTATATTAAGAAAAACAAACCAAAACTCACACAGATGAGACATTACCTATGTCATATGTAACAGTATAGTGGTCAGAGCCCTCACCAAAGTCCTAAGAGCAGGAATCTGACTTGGGGCAACAAATTCTTTATTTAAAAAGTAAACTGTGTTCATATGTACATACATGTATCACTGTGCCCTCTCAAATGAGTTTCAGAGTCGTACAGCTCCCATCCCTACGGATCCTTCATAGCACCCACACCACTGCAGTGGGTGTCTCTATTCCCACCTTCCATTCTGGCTGGTGGCTCGGGAGCTCTCCTGGGCAGTGCAAGGTAATAGCAAGTAAAGATTCCCACTTCCTAGGCAAGCACTTCAAACATTTAGCCTAGCCTGTAATGTAAGTGGTGGGTACCATGAACTCAACCTTCTTCATGAGTTGTCACTGAGATAATGAGCTAGCAGTCCATGGCAAGAGGAGTTGCAGAGGCTTCTAAACCTAGAAAACGGTTTCAGATTGCATGTCCTACTTCATACGGGGTTGGAGCTTAAATCCAACCAAGTAAGCGTATTCCATGTGCAGTCTTTTTTTCTGCATTCCCTTGATTATGCCAGAGAGCTGCCTGCTCAAGTCTGTAGCTTTTTTCTATCACACTCACCTGCATCCAGTTATTCTACCTATTTCACAGGGCTCTTGGGCGTCTTACTGAGGTTTGTGAACCATGAATTAAGTGCACTAGCACTTTGAATAGCCACGTTTCCACCACACATTATGTCACAGCAGTGATTGGGGAAGAAATTTCTATCCTTTGAGAAGCAACAAATGGAAATATCATGCTCCCATGTAATGTAAACACTGCACCATAAACGATAAAAAAATTTCAGAACCCTCATTCTTTCACAGTAACCCTGAAAGAGAAATTAGAGAATATCCTTGTGCTTAAGCTAAAACAGCAGAAAGCAAATTTGCAGATTTTATTTACCTCAAAACAGACAGTGGTGTTTGGTGCAGTGTTTAAGGCACACAAAAATCTATCCCCATCTCCAAGAAACTTGGCTCAGTTTCCGCAAATCTGCTTCTGAATATACTTAACTGATGGCAAGAAGGCCTTCACATACAGTTTTTTACAAACAGAGACCTGGTGGCTGGCTACACACAGCTGCTTCCACCAGCGCCAAGTAAGAGCGCAGCTCTACTGAATCTAAAAAGCTGCATCACGAATGGAGGCTGCATGAACGTGAAAACAATGGAGGATCAAGACCGGTGCCTGTGCCTGTCACATCTGACATCTCATGAGGCAAATAGGAGACTTGAGCCCTTTGGTCCACTTTTGCTTGCCTCCCCCACAGTCCTGAGTGTCCTCCTGGCAGGGCTGTCAGGTCACATTTGGCAGCACGTCACTGCTGCCGTTCTGTGGCTCCTAGCGTGGCCAGGCTGGCTGCAGCCGGTCAGTGCACACGCGATGTGCTGGCTTGCAGTACTTGCTGAGTTCCTCCCCAGAGGAAAAAATGATGGTGCTCAGGAGCTCAAGGAGCCAGCGTATGTAAAACCTCACCCCACAGCTCCCACCTCACAACCTGACGCACAGCCGAGCCCCATCCCCCAGGCCTGCCCTGTGAGCCTCCTGCCCTGTGTTCCCATGAGTCTGCAGGAAGACACTTTCTCTTCAAAAGCATGAAACTGCAACAAATCTGGGTGGAAGCACACTTACCTCTTTTAATCATTACACTTTGGAGTTTCCTAGCCTGACAGGGAAGCTGTCAGATGTGTCCTTTGGGATAGATGTCTTTCCTGTAAGCACCCTGTTTTAGATACACAAGAGTCATAGCCAAGATTCTGGCAACGAAATTCCTGGCCGCAAATCCAAAGCAAACTCTCTCTTTAATGGCTTGCTATCACTAGTTCAAAACATATGTTGTGCCCACATTATTCTTGGCGCAGTCCCCGCCTGCTACCATGATGCCCCCAGAATTTGCTCCATACGGCTACAGAGCTGGAGCTCCAGCATGGCCAGAAGCCCTGGAAGGAAGCCTCCCTCTGAGTCAGGGACTGCAATACTCTTCTGTAATTACTGCAATGGGGAGGGGGGAACAGTGAGTCACTGGAAATGCTAGGGCAGATCAAGAACTACCTGTTATTTAAAACTACATGCTAGATGTTATCTCGGTGTTTAGGAGGACTGTAACACATTTACTCAGGTATGCTTTTCAACATCTGTACAGGTAAGCTACTCACCCCCACACTGCACAGATATGACATTTCTTCATTTACACAGTAAAAGGTAGCAATGTTAAGAGGAGGGATGTACAAAAGAACAGGTAAGAATATTTCAGGATGTGGGAATGGATATAAAATGGACACAGGTGTTTCCAAAGTCAGTGTTCTTTTTATAACCAAAAGGGTTATAACCCTGCATGCTTTTATTAAAACAGCAGCAGAAAGATTCAGGTGTATGACTGAGGCTTAGGGCTAGGGACTAATTTTAGATGGCCTAAATCTGGCTCTCGGTGTGATGGCAAGAGTTTGTGCCAGTGAAGAGCAGGCTCCTGATGCACCGTTCTGCCCTACTAGTGGTCAGATGCCACAGTGTGATGGCTGTGAGGACTCGTTATGGTATCACGGGCACCCTTGTCCCTGAAGACTCTTTGTAGGTGAAATTCAGTTTTGCTCCTTGTCTCCCCCTGAACTCCTCCTTCCTTTATACCAGGTTGCCAGAACAGGGCTGAGGTTCTCCCCAAAACAAGCAGAGCACCCTGTGGAAATCTCCAGCAGACATCAAGCAAACCTGGCAGACCAAAGGATCTGGCCCACACACAGTCCATGCTGCCTCGTCTCACCACAGCCTCATTAAACCTCAACAGGTTTCAGCAAACGAAGTGAACATGATCCAAGCCACAGAGACAGCTGTGTGGCCTGCCTGCACAGCCCCTGGAAGAGGCACCATGGCTACCAGCAGCAGCACTCCCTCCTGCTTCCTAAGGGGCAGACTTGTCCACAAGTGGTCCTCCAGGCCAGGCTGGCACAGGCAAAGCCATCCTGTTAGTACCTGAAAACCTGACCACCAGAGAGAGAGCAGATGCATGGCCTACACGGCCTGCTCCTTTTCCCAAAGCAACTCAACCAGCTGGTATCTGCTTTTGCTCACCAGAATTGTGACTGCTGCTACTGCTGCCAAGAGAAGCATGCAAGGAGAAGAGTTAATGGCTATGGAAAAGGGTAGCCAGTGGCAACTGGGCTCCAAAGAAAAATCAGGCTGGTGGAGGAGGTTCATTCCCATGATCAGATCAGATGATGTAAACAATGGGGAGAGAAAGATGCATGTCTTCCTCCTGCTCTCACCCTCTACGCCTTCTCCTATTCTTTCCCAATGTTTTAAGACACACTGTCCTCTCTCAAACTCTCAAACCATCTCCCCAGATTTACTACCCTGGCAGAACTGACTTTTCCATACACTGCAGAGAAGCCATGAAGTACCACCTCAGTTGCTCTGAATTTTTATGGCTTTCACTTTGCTAGGCTTAGTCCCACAGACTGTCATTAGTTAATTATATATCTATTAGCTCTCTTTACAATGGCTTAAAATTCCTACGGTAATTATAAGTGAGTTGTCAACAGTTTAGGTTGAAAACAAAACACCTAGGATGTATGTGTCATGCAGGGGAAGAGGGAATCACTGAAGAATGAGTTGGGGACATAGAGCAAATGACCATTTCATATTTGGTTTTATTACTGAAATAAAAAATTGGAAGTCCCTGAAAAGGCAGACCCTCGTATAAATAAAACTCATTTCTAAGCACTAAGGTCTTCCCCTTTATGCTCACAAACACAGATGACCCACTTAGGATAGAATCCTAAATAAAGCAAGAAATGTATTGCTGAAACCAAAATACAGAACATAACTCCTCACAAAAACTTCCATTAAACAGCAACAAAGACTCCATGAGATGCTGTGGGATAAGGATAAAGACATCTCAGGGACACTAACCCAGAGGAACATACTAAACTAAATTCTGCACCCGCATAAATCAGTGGCAAGGAAGGATCAAAGTGACCCCAGCGTGCATGAACACTCATGAACTGTGAAGATCCAAGTGTTTTTACATACTTCTATCAGCCACCTACACACACACACACACACACAGAGATCATACTCCTTTTACACTGCATGGAAATTCCAGGAAACAGGATGTATTTCCTCAAATTGTATGCTGCCCAGCTTATAAGGAAGAACTGTTGGGAAGACTCATCCTTCCCTGATTCTGACACTAATGGTGTTGATGCCATAGAATAAGGCATGACCAGAATGAATGAATGCAAGAGAGCTATATGGGGTCAGTCCTAGCAGGGTGTAAACTGCACAGTTGCCAGGACCACAATTTGTTGAGCGCACAGACCTGTCAACGTTTCCATTTCATTTATCTGCCTGCAAACAGTTTCGCTTTGTCTCTGGGAGGTGACAAAGCTTTGTGCTTTCATGTAGCACTGAAATGTCTCAACACTATCCACAAGCGAGAAAACAGAGCGTGCTCAAAGCAGAAAAAGAAAGGGCTTGGGGGGTGGGAAGGATAAGTACAAGCAGAAACCCTAACACAAAAGCAGTGGAGATTTTAAGCGAAATATGAAAACCACAACAAAAGCACTAGAGGAAGGTGTACAGAATTTGTCTGCCTTCAGAGCCTCATAACACCACTGTGTCTGGTGTCTGGCTTTGAAAACGACTTCCTAACAGCAAGTATCTGCTGTGCCTGCTT